GGCTTCTCAAAGTGAAAATGTCAGATGTAAGCAGCATAAAACCAGCTACTTATGAACATGGCAAAAAAAGAGAGAAAGCAGATACTCCTTAAATTGAAAGAAAAAGAAGGAAAAAAATATCTATAAACACATTAAACTAGAAATATATACACAGAATGCTCCATAGTACCAGAGATGTCAATTACTTGTCCATGTCGTCATGCATACGGTTAATATTGAGTGTGTGCACAAACCTTTACTGCCAGACTTCACAGATCTCGCTGCGGTCAGGAACACAGCCAAAGCCATAAATGTAACACCCGATTTTCAGGGGAGATGGGAATGTGGAAAAGAGTTTGGGAAATTCTCCTATGGGGATGCCTTTGAACTGCTCCAGATAACCAGAGAACATTTCCTGTAGCCTCCAGGCATTAAGATGTGGCACAAGGGCATTTCTTCATCTCCAGGTCAAGAAAGTGAGGCCAAGGCTGCTAAGCCCATCCCCTTCCTTCAGACATACATGGGAGGAAACTCCCCCTTCTGCCACTGGACTATACAAGAAAGGGGAGGGAAAGAGAAGAAAGGAAAAAAACTACTGTCTTCTGTCCACCATTTTAGAGAGAGAAAAGGGATTCCTCAGCTGCTTTTCCTATCTTTCCTAAATGGAAAAGGCAAGAGATCACGCTGTTTCCTTACTGCATTAGATGGGAGAGGAATCAGGATAGGAAGAAGGCAGGAAGCAGCCAACCAAAGGTAAGAAGATATACTAAAATTACACATGTACTAATGCCTTTGCATTTGAATCCAAATTCTTAGAAATCCATAACCCAGCTGTGGAAAAAGGACTTTGGGAAAGCTGAAAGGGGATGGAAGGATGTCTGTCTTTCTCGGCATAAGTACATGTTTTGCTTTGTTTTGCATTTGCATGCTTCATCAAAAGGGTTACACAACATGAAGCTTTCTATAGCTGTATGACAACACACACTCCCCACACATCCAGGGAAAAACTTCAACCAGACTAAAATTTGTTCAAATTAACACCCAAGTCTAGCAGGACACTAATGTTTACTAGGTACCCCAACAAAATTATGCATTAGAAAATATTCCCTGCCTAGTTGTGAGAGTACAGCTTTCCCATGGCAATTCTGATACCCTAAATTCACTAACATTTGCCAGATAGAAGCAGCTGCTCCAGGACTACTTTAGAAATGCCGTATCTCACTTTTTTGTTCTCAGTATGCTGCAATTTCCTGTGGAATGAGAAAGTCATCTATACTATAAAGAGGTGCAATACTAACACTTTTAGAAGTAAATTATTTTACAGCACGTGTATTATGGAGAGAAATATAATACTTGGGCTGAGAAATTCCCAAACAGAGAGAGATTAGAAAAGCAATCTGATAAACACGATCAGAACTTGCATTTTTTTAATCAGTGCAAAAATTATTGGGTAACTGTTGCTGTTTGCTGTTCCTAGAAAGAAGGGAATTCTGTTGCCAACAGCTGTAGTTTTTCATAGGAATTATAAGACTATATTGAAGATTTATGTTCCTGACAAAGGCATTAAAACTATCCAAACTAGGGCAGAAAAACCAGAAAAGTCATTTCCCAATGAAACAGACACTTTACTTTTGTTAACTCTTACTATGGCAGAAGGTTTGATCTTTAATACCAGAAACTCATGCTGTGGTTGATATTTATAATGATTAAGTCTTACAATGCCACTCTGCACAGAGCCAACTGGCTTATCACAGGTTGTTATACAAGCCAGAAAGATACCCTATCACCTTTAAATCAATTCAAGTCATAAATACTTACCTCCAAAAGCACATGACTTTAAACTTCCTTCTTGAGATTTTGGGGTTTTATAACTATTCTTTCCCTAGCTTATGAAAAAAGAGTGAAGGTGCCCTTAGGAGAAAGGGGACCCTAGGCAAAATGCTGCCCTCACATGAAGTAAACAAGCAAGGGGAAGAAATCCTGGGTCTCTCTGCTTCAGTTACATAGATGCAAGTGGCCCTACCTGCCTGCACATCATGTTCCTGATTCTCATGGAAAAACTATTCCTCATGCTCTGCAGGATTAAGGTTTTCTGTGTTCAATGGAACTACATCAGGTAACAGTATACAGACCTATTATTTTTAAGTCAACTGACATTCAGCAATAAAACACAAGATATCAGAGGTTTTAAAGTTCATTTATTTGCAAGCAGCCAAACATCATAGTCTGGGTTGAATCCTGGGCCAATTTACAGTTCCATTCTATGCTGTTCCATGAACATTAGACCGAGTTACACAACTTGGGAATCAATAAATCCATTGCCTTGAAAGAATTTGCTCAAAAACTCACAATGAGTCAGTGGCAGCATCTTGCCTAGATCTCAGACTTTGGCTTCCATTTCGCAGTTGTTTGGTCTACCAGATCATATTTATACAATAGCAACAAAATATTTTTATATCTGACTTTCTGAAATTGCTGTTTGTTTGATTTGTTGGTTTGGGCTTGCTTTTTACTAGGATAAGAAAATAAACTAAAAGTTTCTAAATAATTATAGCTGTGATTTTCTTTAACCAACTATACTTCTCAGTTGAAGGAAGGATAGAAAGCTTGATCTCTTTGAACAAAATGCAAAGTAATTCAAAGACCTGCACAAAAAAATCACTGTGTACATGCCAGTTTTCAGGTTCAGACAGACATAATTTTAATTACTGACTTTAAAAATCCTACATGTAATCACTGAGAAGCAAAAGACAAAAATAAAACCTTCCATCAAGGATCAATTTACTACCACTTCTCAGTCCTGCAAAAGGGTCTGTAAAAACACAGGATATTTTCCTTAACAGAATTTTAATTGAGCATAAGCAACTGAACAGAAAGCATTCCATTTCCATAGTATTTATGATCCAAAGGAAAAAAAAAATTAATCTGGGGACATAAAACCAACTTTCATTTTAAAAGTTTTAGGGTCTAGAAGGATAGTGTATATGTGGCAAAGTTTTTTCACCACAAATGGCTTCTTTAAAACAAATTACCATTGACAAATGATCACTTATAAGAAGAGTTTCCAACAAGGCAGAGGTTAAGTTATCTAACATGGCACTAGAGAACACACTTAATTTTAAATGTGCTTATAATTTTATTAGAGCCAATGGCTTTTTCCATGCTTAAGGCTAAGCACATGTTCATGGACTCCACCAAGCTTCCAAGTCTGTTGTTAGAATGCAAAGCAAAGCTTTTTATACCAAACCACATTTTCTTGCATGTAATCAGTGCTGATGCTGCCACTATAGTTTCCAATTCATTCCAGGGCACACTCAACATTTATGAGGGCACAGATGGTGCTCTCTTTCTTGGGTTTCTAAAGAACATGCCTAAAAGTTAAAACAAACTTGGCTTTCTGCCTCCTATCCTGTTCTTACTCTCTGTATTGCCACCATAAAAATAACAGTAACCTTTGATCTAACCTGGAAGACTTTTCTAATCAACACACAAAATTTGGCAATAGGACTATCAAGTACTGTCAGCCCACTTGAAACCAAAGAACCTGATATGCATATCCAGCATAGCAGTCACAAGAAATCAAGAGCAGGAATAAGCAATCCACAGAACAATCAGAAAGACAAAAATTGGTAACAATTTTTTCAGTAACAAACTACACAATCCCGACTGTATTTAATGGCTGTGTACGTCTGGAAAAAACACAAGGTTATTCTGCAGCTTTAGCAGAAATTATCAAAGAAAGAGGCTGATTTTGAAGGCAAATAAAGAGCACTAGCATGACAGTATTAAGTGAGCAAGGTCTTTTCCAACACACTCAATGCATGGTTTGCATTATGCTGAGAACTTGCAGGCAGCATAGGACATTTATTCCCAAATTTTGAAAATTATTTACTTGTTTCCAAGCACACACAGAGCAACATACACAGAGACCAACAGAAAGACCAGCTGTCACAATACTGATAATCTCAGATTTGTCCAGCAGATCTTGACAAAATATTCTTGAACATGCAGCTAACTGAGATGCAGGTGAACATGATGGTCAACAGGTCTTAGCCATCCCTCTTCACAGGCTTTCAGTCTCACGCAAAACACACTGACACTGGAAAAATCACATGTCATGTGCATCACAATATGTATGATCAAACTCAAATGGGGGTACAGCAGGAGGGAACGGCTTGGAGAAAGATCAATCAGACTGCTTGGAAAAAATGTTCCCAAGTGAGGCCTATTTCACTACCTCATTGGTAACATGAGGTTAGTAGCCAGTGCATGCTGTGAGAATTTGGGACAATAAACGTGCATTTAAAGCAGTTGTCTTGACTTCAAAACAGCTCAGCAATTGCATGCATAGATTGGTAAAGAAATCACATCTGAACAAACATCAAGTGTAGAAAACTAGTTTTATAAGTACATTTAAATGACAAAAAGCCAGAGATTATACTAAATAGTTAGCTTCTAAATTTATTTTAAAAATAAGCAATGGCTAGTAATTTTGCAAGTAATGATCCTAGATATTTGCAGTCCACTAAATAAAATAAACTAAATACATCTAAACAAATAGTAGTAAATCAAAATTACATTAAAATCATAATAAAAGTAAGCAAATAAAAACATAAAACTCTGCAAATATAACTAATTTGGGAACAAACCACTAAAACATAAATAAATGAAACAATATTGATATGGACGGCAAAGACACTGTTCTGCAGCTAGTCAAAATTACTTTTTATAGACTATTCCCTTTGAGGCAATGGATTATGGGTTCTCCTATATCCCAGCTTCTCCCAAGGTAGCCTTACCTGATGTCTCCTTGTCTCCTGAAATTCAGCCCTGCTCTTGTCTCAAACTTTGCAATATTTCCTGGTGTTTGAGTAGTTTCCAGGAAATTCAGGCTGTTCCCTTTTCTTGGTATCATGAGTTTACGCAACGCGTAACTTGAAATTACTGGTACATTCAATACTTTTGAAATTATGGCTTGAGAACAAGCTGTAAAATAGCAGCAACAGCAAGCCTGGCCTTACCTGAAGGATCTTGTATTGTTATTTCCTTACGCTTCAGCATGAGCTTGTCCTTAACCCATGGGAACTCCTGTAAGGAATCCAAGAACACATCAAAAGCTTTGGGTCCTCTGGTGGGGAGAATATCAAGGAGCATCATGGTTTTCCTCTGACTAGTAGTTTGGGCTTTTATTTCTTGAACGTGACTGTCTGTGAGAATCCCTTCTTGGTAGAGATACTGAATAACAAGTCCATCCACCAGCACCTCTGTGCAGAGCTCCAGGCGCAGGGAGCGTAAAAGCTGCTTGTCTCTGGTATCCATCTGGCAACCTAGAGTGTGCGAAAAGGAGTAAGGAAATGTGTGAGGATTAAAATAACTTCAACCTTTAACATCCAGAAGTGATATCTGAACATCCAAAAGTGATGTCTGACACCTGCCAACCTTCAGAGAAAACTCCACACTCAGAATCACCAACCTGGCAAAACTACTAAAGATCTCCATTATCTTCTTTCCATTCAGATTTCACTGTCTCACAAGGTAAAATGATGCAATTTCTGGGAAATACTGGACAGGAATAGAACATTTGGCATTGCAAAGACCAGTCCTCTGCTGGAGTGAAACCCGTGCCAAATAATCCTCCTATTAACTGGTTAAGATCCATACTAAAGGCAGCAAAAGCACTTGCCAGTCCTTAAGAGACACAATCCCCCAAAATTAAAGAGATGTTACACCTGACCACTGCTAGAATTACAAAAGCAGCAGCAGGACAGGTACATTCATCTCAGCCAGGCAGAAGCAACAGCAGCAGCAGGGACAGAATCAGCAGGTAGCTTTGGCCTACATGATGCAGTTCAAGTTTAAGAGGGGTAGAAAAGTATCTTATGTACCACGTCGTTCTCACCCTTGAATCATCCGGGAAGATTGCTCTAGAACTCAACTGCTCTGATGAGAAGAAACTTTCTTTGAATTTCCATCTCAGATTTATCCCTTTCTATTTATAGGCATATCTTCTGCCAAAACTGTTCTTTAGCTTAAATAGCTTTTCTCCCTCTCTTCTTATGTGCTCACAGGAAGGGATCAGATGCCCTCTGCCAGCTTCCATTTCACTTGACTAACACTCTGACTAAACAAAAGCTCAAGATGCATTTTATAGCCACTCTACGAAAGAATAATCAGGGTCCAGAGAGATCAAGCAGCTCATCCAAGATCAAGTCAGCAGTCCATGCCAGACCTTCAAACCAAATCAAAGTGTCTAGTCTAGTTCTTAACAACAAACGTATCCCTGAGCCCATTTAATGGCACTTGAAAATGACAGGACAACACAATTAAAAAATTTCTCATTACTAAATAATAAAGTCAAAAAATAGCAGCAGGTGTTGAGTGTGATTACCAAGAGGGTTTCTCACAATTAAATTAGGCACTGCTGTTTGAACCGCTAAACTTTGCAAAAACTCTACTTCATTCAGCTTGAGGGTACAAGAAGAGACAGAATTCTCAAAGCTTTTACATGAAACTTGATGAAGTCTTTTTGCCATCAGAGATGCCTGCTGACTCCCAGAGCCCCATCAAAGACTGTGTGGTTGGCCTGGTTGTTAAAATCAAGGAGGGTGACTAACAGAACATACTGGCATGTAAATGCCACCTTGGACAGAATGCAAGAGCACAGTGTCATGAGAGACACTGGAAAACCCTGTCCGTGATATCCTCTGACAAAGCTACTTTCCAAAAATGCTTCCATCAAGTGCTAAAAGCACTGCTGGAAAGTATCTTCCTGGAGGACTCCATCCTTCCCAGGCTATCCAGTGCATTTCTCACCTACTATAGTGAATTTCTAGTTCTTACCTTCTGTCTAGGGATCATGTGGGAATCAAACACTGCAAGGCCTATGCTATGTCCCTAAGAAATGCCAGTTTACCCAGCACAGTTCAAACATCAAACACCATCATGGACTGAGACAGTAGTGCAAGCAAGGAGATGGAAAAAGAGCAGGCAAGAAAGAGAAATGGCTTTTCCCACTGAAGCTGAAGATTCTGGTCTCTAACACATAGTACCTTTACACTGTAGAAAGCAATCTCTGGACTACAGCAAAATTCAGGCAGTAAATCCTACCACTTCTTCTTTCTAGGAGAACACCCTTGAGCTCATGAAGCACTTGCAGAGTTCAAGAAAGGCATCCAGCAGCACCTCTGAGGGTGTCATCTCAACCCAGGCAGAAAACTGTTTCACATACTAAAAAATTTTTGTGTTGCATATTCTGAATGGGCCCTGAGAGTCCCCATTCAGGAGCCTCCTCATATGCTGGATGACTGTACAGAACTTGATGAGTTCCTCCTCTTCACAACCAAAGCAGCCAACATTTTTCAAAAATAAATCTTACAAACCAAAGGTTTGCACCTTTGGGCACTGAGAAATGCCTATCAGCCAGGGATCAGAAGGGGGAATTTCTGCTGCAAAAGCCCTTTGCCTTGCTGACTGCAGAGTGTGTACAACAGAGGGTTTAAAGTCCTTGCATCAGCCTGGTAAACTTCCAGGATGGGGCATACCGGTTTCTGAGGTCTTTTTAAAGATAAAGTATTTGTATGTGTTTACAATGATAAGCAAATGTCTGACTTAGGAACTAAGCAGCTAGATATGGAAATATATCAGGATTTTGATGTGTAACAGTGTTGGGACAGAGTTTAGTGCAACACAGAAGTAACAAATTCATTTAAATCACCGTCTGTATCTACGGATTCAAAGTAAGCTCTGAATTAAATTTAGTCAAGTAATTTTACAGAAAATGAAAACTATGAGATGTCCATTTACGCAAAAGATGACTCAAACATTCCCTAGATACTTCTGAAAATGGATTTTTTTCCATTATAAAGCCAAATTTTAAGAAATATAGCCCATGACCTGCTGAATGAGCAGTCCTTGACTCATCACCACATCAACACAATCAAGTTTGCCTTTTTCTGGATCTGACAGAGTGACTGTACATAAACGGGGATAAAACTTTTTATAAGAACCCCTGCTGACACTAAAAAGGCAAATTCACTTAAGTTTTTCCGCTAGAAACATTTCATTGTTTTCCAGAACACCAACTGCACTCACCTGACTACCCCATGAATTATTCTGGCTACTCACGGCAAGCCTACGGGTCAAAAATCTTACACATCTCCCCGCCCCGCCGGGAAATTTAAAAAAAAAAAAAAAAAAAAAAAAAAAAAAAAAAAAAAAAAAAAAAAAGGCAAGTTTTGCTTTTAAAGTCTTCTCTGCCGAGCGCCGGCAGCTGCTGCTCGGGTAGCAGCAGCCAGGGGCCAGCTGCCCGCACCGCGGCCCGAGCCCCGCAGGCAGCAGCAGCGCCCGGCCTTCCTCCCGTCCCGGCCTCCCGCCGGGCAGGGCTGCGCGGAGGCGGCCCCGCCGGCCCGGCCCGGCCTCCCCGCGGAAGCCCGGCCCCCGCCCCGGCCCCGCAGCGCCGGGGGCGCCGCCGAACGGCCCCGCGGCACCGCTCTCCCGCTTCCCCCGGCCCTCCCGCCCCAGGCGCTGCCGAGGGCAGCCGTCGGCAGCGCCCGGGCAAGCGAGCTGCGTGCGGGGAGCGCCCGCCGCCCCGCCCGTACTCACCCGAGGGGAGCGGGAGGCTACCCGGGAGGCGCCGGCGCCCGCGGAGCTTGCGCGGGAAGCACCATCTTTGTTGAAGGCAGCAGGGCGCCGCCGGAAGCCGCCGCCGCCGCCCTGCTGCGGGCCGGCCGAGGAGGGGCGGCCGCTGCCGGCCGGAGCGCGGGAGGGGCCGCGCCCGCCGTGCCAGCCGCGGGGGCCGGGACCGGGACCGGGGCCGAGCGGCCGCAGTGCCAGCCGCGGGGGCCGGGACCGGGACCGGGGCCGGGACCGGGGCCGAGCGGCCGCAGTGCCAGCCGCGGGGGCCGGGACCGGGGCCGGGGCCGGGACCGGGGCCGAGCGGCCGCAGTGCCAGCCGCGGGGGCCGGGACCGGGACCGGGGCCGGGACCGGGGCCGAGCGGCCGCAGTGCTAGCCGCGGGGGCCGGGACCGGGGCCGGGGCCGGGACCGGGGCCGAGCGGCCGCAGTGCTAGCCGCGGGGGCCGGGACCGGGGCCGGGACCGGGACCGGGGCCGAGCGGCCGCAGTGCTAGCCGCGGGGGCCGGGACCGGGGCCGGGACCGGGGCCGAGCGGCCGCAGTGCCAGCCGCGGGGGCCGGGGCCGGGGCCGAGCGGCCGCAGTGCCAGCCGCGGGGGCCGGGACCGAGCGCTGGAAGGGGCCCGGCGCTGCCGCCGCTGCTCCTTGCCGCGGCCGGGGCCGGGGCGGGGACGGGAGGTGACTCCGCCAAGGAGGTGCCTTTCCAGGAATTCGGAGGACCTGCTGCGCTATCAGGAGTCAGGGTGGTGGTGGGGGTGTTTAGTGAGGAGAGGGGTTGTATCCAAAATTAAATTCGGAATTACGAAATTGCAGTTTTAATGATATTAGAAACAGCTGATCTCATTACTCCCTAGGTACACTGGTTGCTATCTGTGAGTATGCGCTAAGCTGAACTTCATCCTGGTGCTGGCATCGTCGTATCAAACACAGAGCAGTATTATATCGAATAATGGACACATTTAGCTTCATTACTTTCATCTGAACAGCTTAAAAATGAAGAAACTTTTAATAGATGAAAATAATTTATTAAATTAAGAGCTGGCCTGTGTCTACCACAATGCTATGGACATTCTGTTGTTTTATTCCTCTACTAGTGAATAGTGTATTATTCACTTATTTTTATATGGATACCTGGAAACGAAATATGGTAGAGAGGAGAAGAGTGTGATTCACAGAGCTGTAAAAATGAGGTGGTGTCACTTTCACTCACACATCATGAAATAACTTTTTTCCGTCTTTGCATAGGTGTCAGGTGTCACACGGGATTGATGGTGTCAGCCCTTTTTCTTTCATGTCGGGACCGCAATAGTGATGAAAGGGGAAAAAAAAGATCTTCCAGTGCTGGAACGTACTACCTTTGAAGCTGCAGGCAGGCACAGCAAGCTGGCTGTGGTCTGCACAGCGTGCTAATACCTACCCTCTGGAAAAGCAGGAAAAGTGGTTGCTGCAGCTGCTGCTAGAAACGTCGTCACCTTGTGAACCCCATTTGTACACTCTGTTTAGACTAATTGTACAAATTTAAGGGTATTTGAAATATTTAAGGGTAGTTGGAAGCTAGTTGTGGAAACCTTTACATGCCTTTCCTAGATACTGTACCCAGGAAACTGTACTGTACTGTACTTGCCATGGAAAAATGTAACCAAGAGTAGAGTTCACATTCTGCCTATGCTTAACATTATATTTATCTACAAGATTTTGCATAAAGATAGGCAGTCACACTCAGGAATCTTAATTCCTTTTCCTTTGATTTTCCTGTGGCTGACAGTTGAAAATTTATGTGGACACAGAATGTAAATCAGCCTTAAAGGCAAAGTTTGTATGCTGGTTTTAAGAAATGTTTTAAAAATATAGATACATATATCATGTGGCCAGCTTCTGCAGGGATGCTACTTATTTGGCAGTTTTAAAGCAGTGTTTTGGTTTCATGACATAACACTTTTATCTACAATTATATATAAGTAATAAATTGGATACAGGGGGTTAAATTGCTTGTGAATAATTGATAAATAATATCTTCTTACAATACAGCTGGTAAACCAAGGTAAATATTTTTTTTGTCTCAGGCACATGTTAGTCTTCTAGGAATGAAGATATAAAAAAATCTAAATACTCCTCTGGGTTGTTTCAGAGCAATGCATTAACATATTTGACAACACTGGAAGCCACACAAGTAAGTCATCATCATCAGTAACTCCAAGAAGTATGCTGCTGTTGTAGCCAAAGTACAACTGAGGTGGTGTTAAATTTTCTTGCCACAACGTTTGTAATACTAGTTGTGAGGAGATACGTTTGCAAACAGTACAGCACAGCTCCAGGGAGCAGAGACACCACAAACTGCCTGTATGATTGTTCCTCAACAGAGCACTGCATAGCTACTGAGAGTTTCCTGTCCCAGCTTCTTGTACTTCTGATTGTCAGTGCTGCTGGTTTTCTCTCTCTTCCTTCCTTTCTTCCTTTTTCTTCCTTTCTTTCCTTTCTTTTCTTTACTTCCTTTTCTTTCTTTCTGTCACGATCTAAGGATCTGTATTATATCTGGAATTGGAGTGACCAAACTTGGAGGCTTCAGAAAATCTCATCATTGCAATCCTGACAGCTGCTTTTAATTGCAGATAATGTGGCTGCATTTTAAAATAGAAAATTAGGACAAGCAGTTACATCACTTTATTTACTATATCCTTTTGCCAGATGAGGCAATTTGATTTTTTAAATTTATACTATCCAAGAATGTCTTAGAAAGTTAGCAAAACATATGGATATGCATAGAGCGACTCCAGATTTCATTCAAGGAAATTACAGCAGTTATACAGTCAGCATTTAGTCATGTATTTGCTTGCAGTCTGAACAAAGATAGAAAGAAGGAAAGCAGTGAAAGGAAAGAGATAAGCCTAGGAAGGAAGAGGACAGCACCAGAGGTCCAAATCTCATTAAGGGAAAATCTGGCCCTTCCTTTTCCCCCCACTAGTCAATAACTAGTGCTGCAAATTTATTTAGTGGAAACTAAATATGCTACTGTGTTTTGGGTTCATCTTTAGCAACACAGACAGCTTTTGATTATATAGTACAGGTACAGGATAAAGACACAAAGAGTTAATACTTTAAATCCAAGGAGAGAAGTCCTTAAATTCTTTGTTTCAGTCCATTTTGGGTTCAACCCTCACTAAAGGTCTTCCACTTCTGGTCCAAGTTCAACAAAACTTCAGAGACATGGTTTGGTTCTACTTCAGTTTTAAGGACAAATAAATACATATATATATATTTTAGCCAGTTTGGTGTCAATTCAATGCCCCACTAACTGCTCAAATCTCAAAGCTAACCATGTAGATTAAAGAACTATTTCCTAGAATACAATGATCAATGGACTATAGTCAATCTTCCGCATCAGTATCCTCAGACTTTTAGTCTTAAAAGCTTGTGCTGTCTGGTTCTGCAGATTGAGGGGCCATCGGTGCTCATCAGGCCACACTTTTAAGGACTGCTGAATTCAGGGTCACAAGTCCAAATCTTTGGGAGCCAAGCTAAGCAGTATCTCTTCTGGCAATGCTATTCATTTTACATGTAGGTTATTCCAAGTCATAAAGCCAGATTTTTACATTTATTATGCACCTTTTAAAAGCTCACTTAAAAGTCACAAACCTTTTTAGAAACTGTACCAGAATAATGAGATTTTTTAAATGCTTTTGAGAGGATCCTTTATGCTAATTAGAGTCAAGCTGTATCTAAGCATGTGTGTAATTTGTTTTCTACAGACTAGTTTGTTTTATGCTGATAACGAGGCCAAATGTGTTCTTAAAACTGGCACAAGCAGATTCAATGTATTAGGATTGTGCTGTTTTCAATTGTTTGCAGGACAGCATTCCAGCTTTAGGGACAAGAGAAAAAATAGGAGCCTCTAGATTTGTTTATTAAAAGCACATCTAATTGGTTAAATCTCTCACAAAACCTCAGAAATTAAGGGAAAAGAGAAATACATCTTGTATGCTTGCCTGTCAGTTTTATGAAAGAGTGCAGTGAACATTTCTGTAAGTCATGCATCTCAAAAACAGTGTTAAAATGTAAGTTAGGGTGAGCCAAACTAGGTGGCCTGAAGGCCAGATGAGGGTCTTGCAAACCATTGCTGTCCACTGCTATCCCAGGCAGTAACCCCTTCCCTTCCCCCCTCTTCTCTTCCTCCTTCCCCTGGTCCCCATTGCACTCCCCTTTGCAGCCGTGGGCCTCTGTAATGCTAACATCCAAATCTCCTGTGCCAGTCACTGAAAACCTGGCTGATGCCAAGGAAGGGAAGGGTTTGGTATAGAAAGTTTCCCCAAACTGTAGACCAAATCTTAGGCATGCTGTGCTGGATGCTGGCAGGATATGAGGGCACTAGATGCTCAGATGGGAAGGGGTGCTCTTGAGAAGCTCTTCAGGTGGCTTTTGCTACTCGAAAAATGATTCCTTATCCTTCCTAAAAAAAGATGACAGGCAGGACTGAAGCACATCACTGAAAGGGATTGGCCCTTGGGCTGCTGTGCAATTGTTCTGATACTCTGTAACTTTCATTCATTTAAATAATAAAGACTTTAAATTCAATGCAGATCAAAGAGAGGAATTACTATAAAATATAGGTGACACGTCATGAACTTCCTTGAAAGTAGTATTTTATTAAAAGGCACGTCCAGCACGTGGGTAAAATATAACACAGAAAGTTCTAAAGCATCTTAAAACATAGGGTTTAAACTGACTCTGTAGTGTCTATACATTTACATTTGTTTCCATAATAAAAATAAGTATTTATTAGCAGTACTGCAATGAATTCTTAGTGCTTTTTACTATGATACAAATAATCTCTAGCAAAAAGTTTAATGATAAATAATTATAAAAAGGAAGCAGGCATCCACTGCAAAACTTTTGTATACATTTCATTTAAAAAATCCAGTGAATTAAAAAAAAAAAGTGTAATTAATACTTGCAAAACATGACTCAGTATTTCTCAGAATTTGTAGTCCTTTAAACATATGAATTAATGTAGTTCTCTATTTTTAAGTTTAATTTAAAGACTCTTTGAGGAGACGGATGAAATACTGCAAGCCTCTTATTATTTATTATTTATTCCAGACTTACTAAATGATTTTTAAATGTAAAGCACCATTTTATTAATATGAGAACAAAGAAAATTCACTAATTAACCCGAAAATCAAACACTAGCAAATAAACTAATTAAAGACAGAAGTCTGAAACCTTTTCACAAAACCAACTTACTTTACTTGCAAATTACAGTATATGAAATGGTTTTCTAATATTTTAGATAAAAGACTGGAAGGTTGCTTTTGTTTAGGAGGATAATAGCTATTGCTTTCTGCAATGTTCTATTGCTTTCCCTGGATTTGAACTGGACAAACTCATATACAATACCTGTATTTTGAAAGGTTCTTACTTTAAGGTTAGACTTCAGGAGCTAACAATGATCGATGGAATGCTTTTACAGATAGCCTTGCAAGAGATTTTTCACTGCTTATACCTTTCCCATGCATCCTGTTTTCAAACAAAAAAATACCCTTCGAACAAAAATTCACTTGATCTATTTTGTTCCCTTTCAAAATGAAATCTGCCTGCCTGCAGGCTAGTGAAGCATCCTGCAGTAGGTGCTGGATCCTCTATCAGGGGAGTTAAAAGAAACAGATGAATTTCCAGAAAGCTTCTCACAAGCAGCTTTCCCCACAGAAAATACCCGTCTGAAGCACTCGAGCTCAGGAAGGAGCTGTGCCACATCCACTGCAATCTAATTAGACAAGGATCTCACTTTCCTAATTTACTTCCATCTCTCTTTGTAGCAGTGCAGCGAGTCAAAGGTATTGCCCTCATTGCAGCTTAAGTTCCTATCGATGTTATTTGCCACTTTTTTTGCCAATGTTATAAGCCACTTATAACACAATGTTATAAGCCCATGCTGAGAAATTACAGAAGGTTGAGTCCACCACCCACTTTACAGATCCAAGAATGGATCCCACTTTACAGATGGATAAACTGCAGCTCAGTCTTTAATAGTGCTCTTCCTACAGAAAATCAATTAGCCCAAAATCCCTTCAACAGTAGGAGTTGATCCACAACTTATTCTGCCCTCCAGATGTGTCAAACAGGGTAAGAAAAAAGCAAATGTTTAAAAAGGTGTCAAGAGCAATCTCTCAAATTTGGAGATTCCCCCTGAGGCAGAGTGTGGGTACAGCAACTCAGCTGAACAGATCCTATTTCAGGGCTGCAACCTAAAGAGATACAGTTAAATTGTAACAAAGCATTTTGAAAGGGGATTTTTGCACTTTCAGCTACCACATTTACAACTATTTTTCATAAAATCCTGCTATCAGGCCTGATCCAAATAACTTCAAAAGAAGAATTTGCACTGGGCTTTGAGTCCTTCCCCATGTCTTACATGCACCAAGTTGCAAACTTCAGCTATGAAACATAAGTTTTAGAACAGTTCGACTGGAATCAAAAGGATTTACTTACATAAAGCCTGCCCTCCAGTGAAAGAAAAATCAAGACAGAAGCATTGAATTTGTTTGTTTGGGTTTTTAAAGTGTATTTTGTTCTTTGCAGCATTCACCACTAAACTTTTTCTGGATATTATCTGTTTGAAGTTTTTCCTACTAAATGCCAGCTCATTCTTTATGCTAATATAAATAGCTTTTGCTCCAGCATTATGTTCCTCCTTAACACCATAAAAAGGAGTAGTATTATTTTGGTATTTCAGTTCCTTGAAAAATAATGGCTCCAATTTTGAAAGAAAACAAAATGAAACACAGGTGCAATCCCTTCTTAAAAATAGAATATAAGTACAATAAAATACACAATTTATCAGGCAGCTTAATCAGCATAATTATGGTGATATATTTTTTAATTTCTATAGATTTTCTCAGGGGCACTGGCTAATTTAAAGCCCTGTAGATAACCAGATTAATAAACACAGTTAATCCCCCTCCTGCTTGGTTAACTCTGACACCAGGACATACTGAATTTGCTTTAAACTAATTTTCTTTTTTCTCAGAATTGAATTATCTAGCCAGACTTTGTCTATATGTACTATGTCAAACTGTACTGATACTAGTTATTCCCCATGACCTTTAATCTCTACTAATACACCTTTCAGCACTGTACTCATCCAGGTGGTTAGTGATACACCTTGTGAGAAGTACCACTTGTCACAGGAGCTGCTGGCTTTTCCATGTCCTTTCTCTTCAGTCACTTCTCAGACATGAAAGCCAGACAAGTAATTCCCGACTTAGAAAGCAGAATATTTTCTCATCTTGTTTCTCGCAGCTGTGTTTCACCTAGCTTGTGCTCTCTATAGACAGGGGTAAGGACCAGTGATGGTCAGCATCTAAACCAACTCTGCCTCCCCATTCCTCTGACTGATACTCAGTCTGTTGTAAAACTACCCAATTTTAGCAATACTGTGGCAAATCGCCATGTTGTTGCAAACAGACCATGGTGACTGAAGTTATGTGTCAGTGGAATGTTATTTCTAGGCATTTTCAGTCAATCTAATGGATTAGCAAAATACTGAGACCTGCTGAATCTATTGCTAATAGGGAAGTGCTTTCCAGGAGCTGGGCTGAGATACCAAAGCAGCTTGTCATCCCCACTTCCTTTGTGTATACAGAACTAACCAGCTCAGACCTTTCAACTAACTTCTACTTACTCTATTTAGAACTTCTTTGGTTTAGACAGCAAAAGTTTAATTAATTTCTTTATTTTTAAAATAAAATGTCTCCTTTCAAACATTTTTTACTGTTATTGAGAATTAGCAATACAGTTTTTAGAATCCCTCAAGCCCTTGTTTCCTCTAGCAGTAAATGTGACACTTAAAATAATTTTAATGACTGCAAAGTTGGCAAAAATTTTATTTTACTTTATTTTAAATTACTCTTAGACATGATACCCATGTCTAAAAATATCTCTTCCCATTTCCATTATGTGTTTTGGCTTAAGGAGAGCAAAGCCCTGATATCACTTGACTTGCTTTCTGCTAGAGCCTACAATTATAGCCAAAGGAAAAATCAATAGGATTGTTATCAAGAATACAAGAAAAAGCTCTTGAATAGAGCATATAAGTAAATAAAGTTTTTAAAACAATCTTTAACAAGGTAGTTTACCTGCAGGAACATTTTGCTAAAACATGAGAGTTGGCTAAGGTACAGAAATCTTACACAACTACAGAACTCTATCCTCCCTGTCATATGTAGATTCTGTTTTCTCAAGGTGATGAGACTTAGCCTCATTATAGGAGCAAATTCCTCACTGGTGTTTACTTTTATTAAAAAAACCCTCTGCCCCCCATATTCTGGTGAAGATTTTTCCTTCTTGCTAATAATTTTATATTGTTTATCTAGAATGTGGTTACATAAAATATAATTATGACAATAAAGACAAAATCAGATTAAAATGAAATTACTTCTAATGCACTGAGCACAGCTGCTTGGTTACATTCCCATTCTACCCATGCATCTTGTACTCAAACCGTTTTCTGTCTCTAGTGATAATACTACCAGCAGAAAGATACCCATACAACTAAAATACTGCCCTAGTTTACACTTCTGCTAGGTTTAGTGCTAAACTAAATACTATCACCAGTTCAATTTTCATCATTCATTTTGCAATTATGCTTATTTTGGTTGTTTTTTTAAGCATCACCTTTTAGGATTGTAGGGTTCTTTGTTTTCCTTTAAGTAAAGTGAAGAGGTTTGCTAACATTCCAGGTATAAACTGGAAAATCTGAAACTCCAAGACTAAAGAAAAAAAAAAAAAACAAAACAAACCAACACATGGGGTGAAAAAAAGGCTTAGGATTAAAGTCCTTATAATGATTTTTGCTTGGCTCATGGGCATTGAACCTGTGAAACTGGCTTTGCTGCACACTATACTAGCAATTCAAGACGATATATATCAGAAGTAATTTTTATAATCTGAAGGGCTCACAATTTAAAAAAAAGGCACTGCATTTTTTTTAAATTTTCAACATGTGTGAACAATATGTCTGAAAATTTTCATATTTGAAAATTCACACAGTCTACATGCAAGATCTTTGTATCGCTGAACTCTAATCATGTTCTGTCATCAGATTTTTTTGTACCAGAACAAGTCATTCCTCTGTGCTGCATTAGAAAGAAGCCGAGATTTCTGCAAGCTATACTGTGGTTTAGTTTTACTAGTGCAATGCATCACCCCTAGGACCGGCATCCTAATGAGGACAAGAACTGTGCTTTCATACAAAGAGGACTAGTTCCCCCTCCAGTCTGTTTAAAATATTGTTCACAGCTTCGAGCACACTACAATTACAGAGCCTACTTTTCCTCATAGGAACTACTACAAATGATACAAAGTCTAAGTCAATATGCTCAATGTTTGGTGACTTGATTCCACATCACAGTAACTTGATTAGTTACAAGAATCACCACCTTTCACTTTGCCAGCACTCCTTGTTCTCAGCCTGCCATTTGCCCTTGTGTTTTGGAGAACTCTTATTAAAAAAACCAGCAAGCTTCTCTGCATCTGCCTGTTGTTCCTCAGAGCCTGGCTCTGCTGTGGGGTACACTTGGCCTGTGACTGTTCACACAGTCTGCCAGCAGCAAGCCACAAATCATTTCTTATATTTGCAACATAGCAGTCTCATTGCATCCCAAAGCTCTTATCTTCTCAGTCTGCTTGCTCCAGCACTGGAATTCATGTTGTTAAACCCTCAGGGATTTATTTTAAAGGTCCTTAGTAGAATGTGTTTACCATTGAGACACCAAGCATATCACCCTGGCTGAAAAGGCACAGTAGTAGAATGTTAACACAGCAGCAGATTAGAGTGTTTGTCACTGTGATGGAAGTTATTCCATATATCAGTTCTCTCACCACAGGGTAGAGCTAGACAAGAACTGTAAGAAAAGATTCATCAGAATGAAAAGTGTTCCCAGGAACACAGTTTTTTGACAGGCTCTACTCACAGGAAAAGCTCATCAGCCTGAGGGTGGCAGATCTTAGCAAGACTGATGACAAGAACTGTGTAATTATGACACATACCTAGAACTCAAGAGTTCTCTGGGCATGGGAACCAAAAGGTGGTCACCATATAATGTGAAAAATTTCCAAATACATCTTGGCAAGACATGGGGAAAATTTTACATAACAAAATATTTTGTTAAGAAAAAAACTCATCCCATTTCTATACTAAAGCTTAAAATGGGGACAGAAAATTTAAGCCATGGAGGAGGAGAAACCCGCCTTTTCCACAGAAAGAGCAAGAACGTATTAAGTATTGTCATATCAAGGAACCATTCACTCTGCCTCACGTTCTTAGTGCCTTCTATTTCACAATGGCTCTGCTACTCATTTCTGCCAGCATGTTACAGACAAAACTGAGTGCAACACTAGGCATTTAGATGCAACAAATAAAGCTGGTCAGGGCACCAGAGTTTATGAGAAGGGACAGAACATCTTTAAAGCACAACAGAACAGTTAAGTCACAAAGAAAACAAGATTATTTTATGTTGTTCTATTTCAGCCTGGGCAAAGCTAGATTACAGCAAGTCTTGACAACCCTCCTTGTTCAAGCACAGGTCTTTCCTTTAATCAACAAATAAGCTAGGGAAAGAATTAAAACTTTTAATTTGTTGACTAAGGATGAGTCTATATCCTTGTTTCTCTCTTTACTGCTTCCCTCTTTTTCTCGTCCTGTGTATTTCTTCTATTAAATACTTTACCTTTGGGCTGAAGAAAGGGTACTGAGGGTCTTAGTCCCCTCTTCCTGTTTGGAAGACTACTGTAACAGAAAAAGCAATGTCCTGTGCTAATACCCAACTACAGGAATTCAGCAGACAGCCTCTAAGCCACTAATCTGAATGTAATCCAGCTATACTTTTGAGCAGCACCACAAAGGCAAAACAGGGTTATTCATTCTCACTGATACATGTGCATTTATCTGAGTATTAGCTGAGAAATAATACAAGTTCCTATATAAGAGGACTCTTTCCTGCATAGTAGCAAATCCATACATACAAAGATTGGGAGATTGTTGTGCACTTTGATTTACTTTATTGAGTAATTATCTGATAGCTACAATGGTGAATTGGATGTTAAAAAATAAAATAATAAAATAAAATAAAATAAAATAAAATAAAATAAAATAAAATAATGAAATAAAAAAGAAGAAAAAGGAAAACCAACCCCTTTACAAAAAAAAAAAATCCACATCGTATTTCCCCATATTTTGGGAAACAGGCTGAAGAAAACATTCTACACTGTAGAAGACACATGTAGCTGCTGATACCCATGTTTTGACATTGGAACTGCAAGTCTGAAGCACATAGCTCTAAAGCCTCAACCAAAAGAGGCTTAATAATCATAGCATGGATACATCACCACTGTGAAGATGTTAACACATTAAGGATTCTGGGATGCCAATCTGGTATAATCAGCAATCGACTGGGCTCCTGTGAAAGATGTGACATTTCTTCTTAAGGTCAGCTTTCAGAGAACTTTGAAAAACAATGTTCTAGACTGATTACTTACAGTACTCCTTTGCTTGCAGAAAAGGAGGCTAGTTCAATAAAAACTGAATACATGATCATTTTTCTGACTGGATTTGATTAGTTGCATAACTTTAGCAAGATTATCACAGTGTGATCTAGTTAAGCTTCTAGGATTATATGAACACCAGCACCAAATTAATCTTGGAATCAGACAACTGAGATACTTGCAAACTCTCATATGTTTCTGACCACTTATGAAGTCTCTCCCAGTCCCACTGCTTCAGTAAGCATTTGATAGTTAGTGCAGCATTTTATTGACAAAGCAACACAATCTGACAGATTCCTGGCTTCTCTCTCCTTGCAAGAATAGCATGCCACCTCGTTGAACCCCCAAGGATGCAAACTGGGATTATTTTACATAAAGTCTCCCTTTGTAGCATCTGAAATAAAAACCTTTCCCCGAGAACTGCCACTGTTTTGATAGTGAATTCCATGCTGAGTTGTACAACTGGTTACTCAGTTCTTTGGCTGATTTTAAAAATTGCATTCAAAAGTTACTCTGTGTTAGAGGCATTTATAAAATATATTTATACCTGGTATTGATACTCTTTCAAGTATTCTTTTAGTCTTGTTGGTAATGGCAGCTCGCAGATCTGATTTGTGCTCTTGTTTATAGCTATTCTGCAGCGGTGTTGCAGAGATGGAGCAGATGTATAGAGGGGTTTGTTCAAGTAAAGATGAACTGTTCCATTTGAAGGTGTTTCAGTTCTATCCTTGCACATAAGAACATAGTACTCAATCAAATGCACAACGCTGTTGAACTGTTTAAGTCTAGATCTGACACAAGTGATAGAGTCCAGTCTAAACTTGCCATCTTGATATTCTATACGTAGATTGGTCGGTCCCGCTGATGTTTTTACTGATATAGTCAGTAGATACTCTGAATGCGAACTATCCCTAACCAAAAAGGTCCCTTCAGGGGCATCCTGTAACCTTTCTTTGGCTTCAGCAACAGTCATGTTGCCCCAGTACCATCCTGTTAAAAAATGAGAGAAAGAAGGGATTTGTTTATGCCTGTTTGTTTTAAAAGCTGCTCTCTAGCTGATATACTTCTAGTCACCCATTTCTTTTGTCGTTTGAAAGCTAAAGTCCTGCAGGCAAAGTAAATTTTTATTTGCTATTTAAATTCATTTGTTTTACAATGCATCCCGTTTTGACAGAGCCTTCCAGGTCACCTTTTATTTACCTATGTATGCATACACATGCACAAACTTTCCTGCAGCGTCCTGCGGGGCCGCCACCGGAGCCCCCGACCCGGCGGGCCGCCCCTGAAGTAGCAGGGACGCGTCCCGCGGCTCCCCGCTGCTCTCTCCCAGGGCCAGCGCTGCGTCCGCAAGGCACAAGCTGGCAGCCCGCAGAACGCCCGCTTTGGGTAACTGAGTAGGTTGCTGTTGAAATGAGCTTTGTCTAGCGATCCAAAGCTATGGGGTAAGAAAACAACTTCGGCGAGGTAGCTGCAGTCCTGGCGCGGCTGCGATGAAGACACAAAGCCCTTCCCTCCTCCCGCAGCTGAGCTCCGCGTCCTGCGGGGCCGGGCGAGCCGCCGCCACACCGGCGAGGGCAGCGCAGGTACGCGGGGCCGCGGGGATGAGGTGCCGCGGCCGCCCCGGCCGGCGGCAGCGCCCGGCCCTCGCCCGGCCGCAGATCCTGGGCTGCCGCCGGGGCGAGGCGCTGCCGGCGCTTTCGCTTCGGCCGCCGCAGTCCGCGGAAGGTCGGAGTCTTCGCCGTCCCTCTCCGCCGAGGAAACGCGACCTCGCAGCACCGGGCGGCGATGGCCAGGCGTCGCACCGCCTCCCAGTTCCCCTCTCGGCCCGATGGGGATCCCCGCCGCGCCGCTCTGCCTCCCCCCGGACAGCGCCGCCGCCCCGGGCGCTTTCCCCTTCCCGGCCGCCCGGGCTTACCTGCCCGCCGCAGTTCCTCCATAGCCGCGGCCAGCTGCTCCGCCTCACGGCACTCCTCGGCAACGGGCGCCGCCGCCCCGGGGTGCCCCCAGCGCTCCCCGGAGCTCTCCGCGCTCTGCAGGGACTCGGCGGAGCGCAGGGTCATGGGCGGCGGCGGCGGGCGCGGCCCCGCTCGCACGCGGGTCGGGGGCTGCCGGCAGGAGAGGGCTCCGCTTCGCCACCGCGGGGTTCAGCGCCGCGCTGGGTGCATGGTCCCGGCCCCCAGCCCGGGCGCTGCCTGCGAGCGGAGAGAGAGCGCGGTGAGCGGCGAGCCCCGCGAGAGGCGCTCCCGACGTAGAGCGTGTTTCTGGCGATCCCGCTTCGGAACTTCCCAGCATCCAGAGGAGGGACCCGAGGCGAGAGATCACCTCCCGGCGGAGCGGGGGAGGGACATCTCCTCCCCCCGCCGCCCAGCCTGTCCTCGGCTCCTCTCCGCCGGGGCTCCTCTCCTCCGGCGGAGGCGGCGTCCCGAGACGGTGGTCTCGCTTTATCGCAAAGGCGAACCCGCTGATGCCCCGCTCCCTCGACTGGGGCAGGCGAGCCCGGCCGCCAGCTCTGGGACTTTTGGGGAGGGAGGAGGTCGTGGGGGAGAACCGAGCACGTAAAGGTATGAGAGAGGAGGGGTAACCAGCAGAGCGGGGAACGGTCCCCAGCCCCGGCGCTGCCCGGGTTTCACGCTGCGGTGCGTACGGACGCCTTCCAGTAAGGTCATCCGCGAAGTCGTACTTGTGGGAACGGGAACAGAAACCCAGCATGGGCCATGCTCCTGGGCTGGGACACCTCCTCTCGGGCAGCGGAGTACCCGAGAAGCTGCGGAGCGGGTGCGCCGGCAGCGCCGGCTCCGGGGGCTCGCCGGCCGCTTGGGAACGGAAGGGGCAGCGCGGTGGAGGACGCGCTATAATTAGCACGGGGCAGGAAATATGCTTTTCCCGCTCAATTAAATGCTGATATTAGGGGGGTAAAAATTCATTCCTCTTTGCTGAAGCTAACGAGAGGGACAAAAAGAGCCTCTTCTCCCCTGGGTGCACCGCCACATCAAGAGCGACACAAAGCCGAAGAGTACCAGACACGGGGAGCCTAGCCGGCTTGGCTGGAGTGGAGGGACGGAGCTCAGGGGGAAGACCGGGAGCCCCCCCGCCGGTGCTTGTGAACCCGGCAGACTATGCCTGCGGGTGCGCAGCAGCCGCCAGGTGAGGGGTTTGTGCCGAGGTGGTTCCCCCCCTAACAAGTTCCGCGGCGGAGCTCAGAAACTTTACCAAATGAATCTGTAGTGGCAACTGATAGGGTATTCTGACGGGTTTCTATCCCAATATATGTAGGCACACGCGCGGGAATCCCTCGACAAAGCCCACCCCCTTCCTTCCCCCGCGCAGAAGCGCCCGCCGCCGGCTCGGTGACCGGGCGCAGGTGCGCCTGTCACAGAGAGAGGCTGCGGGCGCGGGGCCGACGAGCGCAGGTGGGAGCAGCCCTGCCAGCGGTGTCCGGGCGCGACCCCTTGTGAAAGGGAGGCTCTGGGAGCGCCTAGCCGCGAAGCCCGCCGCCACGGGAGCTCGGTGGGGACGGAAGGCTGGCGAGGCGGTGGCGGCTGGCTGCAGCCAGGCGTCCCCCGGCCGGGGAGAGGAGAGCCGGAGCAGCCCGCCGCCGGCTGCGGGGAGCCTCCATCCCGGCGGCGGGCAGCGCCGCACCGGGATCGGGACGGCGGACGGCCGGCTCTCGAAGCGACGCAGGGCAGGGGGCGGAGGGGGCGACGACAAGGGGACTCACCCGGGCTCGGCGGGACGGAGCTGGGGCCGCCGCTGCCGCCGCCTGGAGGTGGGGCGGTCAGGTCGTTCTGGCTCTCGGGGGGCCGGGGGACGCAGCACCCGCCGCCAGGGAAAGCGTCGAGGCTGTGCCGGAGCGGACGGGGGCTGCCGGAGGAAGATGGTGCGCCTGGGGAAACAACAGCCTCCTCTCCCCCGCCTCTCCCCGGCGCGGGCGGTCTGCTCGCCTTTGATTGCGAGGCGAGGGCATCCTGCCCCCGCCGCTCCCCCCTCCCGGGATGGTTACATACAAAGGCTGCTTTCCAGGAACTTTCCAGGAACCGCATCATGTGACAGGACCCGCTCCGGCGCCTCCGCCGCGATCGCGGCCAGCCGGGGCCGACGCACCGAGCCGCCGCCCCTGTCACGCCGGGGCAGCGGTCGCCGAACGCTGCCCCGCGGCCCCCCCGCCTCCTTCTCCTCCGCCCGCGGAGCCACGGGCGACGCGCAGGTCAGTGCCCGGGGCTGCGGAGGGACCGGACCGGGCCGTGCGGGCCGCCCCGCGGGGCACGGCGGGACCCCTGAGGGAACGGGGCGAGCGCGGGAGCGCAGCCGCCCGTCCCGGGCCGGAGGGGCGAGGGGCGCCCGGCCCGCCCGGCGCCAGCAGCCGCGGGCACCTGAGCGCGGCGGCGGGGCCCGCCCGCGGGGCCGGGAGCGCGGCGGGGGCCGGTGCCAGGAGCTCTGTGCCAGGGACTTGCGGCGGCCGAAGCTCCTGGGACACCCCACCCTGGTCTCCACCCCCCTTCACCCTCCGGCTCTAAATACCTCGTTGCTACAAACAGCCATTGCCCGCCGATGCGCGCGCCGATTTCCTCCCCCTCCCCCCCCAAAACCTGGTTTTTAAATGGTAATAATTTTTTTTTTTAATAACCATGAAGCTGGTTTTCAGCATAAAGATGGTTGATTGCGCCGTGGGTGCTGCTCGGTAACCAGCCACCTCTCGCCGCTGCCCAGGCGGACCCGAGCCGACTTTAGAAAGAGACACACACACAGTGGAAAAAAAAAAAAAAAATAAGGAAAGAAAAGAGAGGAAACAAAGCAAAAGTGGCCGTAATAGTCTCACCCCAGCCCTTGGCTGCAGGTCAGGGCTCCCTACAAATCGCACGGGGATATCTGGGAGGGAGAATTGACGCAAGAAGAATTAAGTCTTTTTAAAGATTTCAGGAAAGAATCCCAAACCTTTAAAATAATAAAAGTCAGTATCTTTTAAAATCGGGGCGGGAGGGGGGAGGGAGCCTTTGTTATCAGAGGGGTAAATGAATATGTATTAGGCTGGACTGTCTGGCTGAGGGAGCGGAGCAGCTCCCCTGCACAGAGAAAGCTCCCAGACTTAGACGCTGCCTTGGGTCGCACTCTCCAGCAACGTCTGAAATGCAACGTTTCTTAAAAAGAAAAAAAAATAATAAAAGGACTGAGGAAGGATTACAAGTCCTGAAGGATTTTGTAACAGCTATTGCTTACAATTCTTAAGCATCAGAGGATAAGAGAATTAAGAGTTATCTTAAAAATTAAGTTTGTTTAGTGATTAAGTAAATTCATGGAGAAAAAAAAAATCTACTTTGTTAAGTGAAATATTGGCCAATATGATTTCATCTGTTTGTAATACCAGGGTGCTTTTGAATTTAATTTATTCGGTTTATGAAAAAAAGGTGGTTTTAATCACTGGCAGCAGCACAGATTTAAAATGAGGTTTGAGAAACAAACACGGGCTTTCTTAAGCATTCTCAGAAATGGTTTAAAACAATTTAGGTCTTGAAGGTCATTCTTGTTCCTGTTTTTGTCTGTGAAGTTCAGATAGCCTCAGATCTAGCCTCCAGTGATGACTGTGGAATTCCCACTAAATTTTTTTCGTTGTATTGATGTGAACAGGGGAGAGAATGGGTTTGTGCCCCTAGAAATTGAGTTGACAGTTCAGCTAGCCATGACATGAGATCTTGCAAAAAAACTCCATTACTATTTCAGAATGGCACTGACTTCACTATGTTCAGAAGAAACAATTAAAAATTAATACAGATCTAATTTTATTACTAAAATAATTCTGTATATGTAGGCACACAGCTTTTGATCAAAAAGTATGTATGTTCTGATATCATAGTGTTCAAATTAAGGCTATTTCTTTGAAGTTCACTAATGCATCTTGGAGAAAAGGAATACATCTTGTCTAGATGAAAAGCTGCTTTTTTACAGCTTTGCTGTAGTTCTCTTTTCCTATGTTATTTTATTAATGAGATTTTTATGTGGATAGTATCTCAAGACTTCCTTTGCTTCTGCTGTTCGTCACTTGAAGTCATAATAATTTGTTTCTAAAACCACAGCTGGCTGCTATAAAGGCAGAGGGAGGAAGACCACGATTTATGTGGTGAATGAGAAAAAAAAAACAGAAGAATGTAATAAATGTTTGTTACTTAAAACTTCAGATATTGTTGTGAAAAAGGTAGTATAAGTATTAAATAGGCAGTATATCAGTAGGATATTTCCTAAACAGAGTTCTGTGGATTTTTTTTTCAGGATAACTTAATTTCTCTTAAAAATAGCACTGAATACCTGATAAATGTACAAGAGTAATGAAATTCAAACTTAAAAACTGCAAATCTATCTTTAAATGACAATTCTGGCACCTGATAGGAGTGCTCTGGTTTACAGTTACCTTTATTCTCTGGCTTGAGACATCTGAAAGTGCTATAGGCTCGGTGTATTTTACTGTTTCTTCCAACAATATTAGTTGCTCTTTTTCTCCTCTGTCTGTATGAGGCTTCCACACAGTCACAGGAGAGAAAAGAAATAGTTGTAAGGGTAAGAAAAGGTGACTAAATGAAATTACTTTTGGGACTATGAGCCATATGTAGTGCATGAAACTACTTAAAGCTACTTTTTAGGTTTTTGGCACTGGGATATTTAATACAGGTTTGGTCTGCCTGAAGAATTTTACTTTATAAAAATGAGAATGGAGTAGGAGAAAGATATGAAATGGAGAAAGAGAAAAGAAGGAGCAGACTCAGAAAACTTAGTTTTCCAAAATAGGGGTTTTTTAATCTGCCATGTAACAAACAGTAATGCTTCTAAACAGTCACTAATACAAAAACTATATACGGGTGAGGATTTAAAAATTTTATGTACAATTCAAACCAAATCTTTTATTTATTTTTAATCTGTGTGTTTTGAGGTAGCATTTATAGAAGAAATATTGCTGTACATATATAAATCTGAAAGCTTCTGAGCCAGTTTTAGAGGCATATCATCCAACTGGAGATGAAAGGCACCAGTTGATGCCTATTTTTGAGGCACCTATTGATAGATGAAAGGCACATATTTTTCACCTATTTAGGTGCTTATTTTTGAGGCACCTAAATAGATGAAAGGCACCTATTTTTTTTCCAGATTCTGCTATTCATAAATGTTGGTTCTGACTGTCTGTTCTGACTATATATCATCCATATAGTATATATTTTTAATGAAGTTTTGTATTAGTAGTGAAAATATGAACATTAAGGGTTCTTGAAAATCACAAACAGAATATATTGTTTCTGATGCATTCAAATGCATATGCTCAAGACAGGGAAGGATGAGTGAATTTATTTTTTATTTTTCCTTTAGGCAAAAATCCCTTTAATGAACAAGGAAGAAGGCAACAACGTTTTTACAGTCCTGAGAAGTGCCTGTTACTAGAAATGATTTTCACTTTGTTCCTGAAAAGTATGCCAAGTTTACTGGTGAGCTGGTACGCTGATTTATTTATGTAATATGCAAGCGGGGGGGAGGGGGGGGGCGGTAATGTGTTTTTGACTCAGCCGATTTTGCTAAATTTGTTCTGATTCACTGAAAAGATTTACTTATTTATTAAGATAGATTTACCTACCTACCTGGAAGAATACAAGGGCATTTCCTTGCTCTCTTCATCCTTAACTTCTCAAAGATGCAGCACAGAATATCTATTATCCATGGCATACCATTTGGCCACTTGAAATACCTTTCGGTTAAAAGGACAGCTATTGCTTATCACATAGGTTTACTTACTGAACGTATTTTGACAACTGTTTACCTTAACTAGTCTAAATAACAGTGTACAGCTGCCATGGTTTCTCTGTCCTGGGATTGCAGTCTGGTTCTTGAGCAGAGAAATATGAATATTGAGCCTTTAGCTCCAGCAAATTGGAATGAGTTAATTGTAACTACACAGCACAAGAAAGGTCTGCAATGTGAACTCTTTGAGGATTTCTCACTTAGCAGCTAGAGAAAGGTTTGCTTATTTCACAAAGAGTTCTTAAAACATTATAAATAAAACATAGAGAAAACAAATATTTCAGTGTATGGGATCACCCTGCTCTTTCCAGCTGCTTGAGGAACAGAATGTTTTGATGAAATAGATTAAGATTTATACCAAACAGTTTTACTCTTTACTAGCTGCCACCTTATTTCCTGCCATTTTTATCTATTCACATGTGAATGCTTTGCTTTTCTTAATATACGTTTAGTAAAGAAGAATAATAAAATAATTCAGTGAATAATTTCTGTAAAACAGGGGTGCTCTAAAAGGAATCCAGCACCTGGGATTTAAAAGCAAACATCAAAAGATGTAAGAGAGTAATGCTTTGAAATAACATCCAGATTCTTTTATTTCAGAGACAGTTGATAAAAAGAAGGATCATTCCCTTTGGTTCAGTGGATAGGCAGACAGATAACTACTGTCAAGCATGAAACTGACCATAAAAAGATGGCATTTAAGTCCATTTCTCATCTCATCCTGTGCTATCTACTATCTAAAAGTAAAGGCCTATCCTGCATTGTGTAAGAGGTTACCTAGCCACTTGGAATCTTCAATGAAAATAATTAAGTGTAGTGCTTGCTTAGTTTCTACAATTTACTGTTTACAATTTAAGGTAAAACTGAAATAACATAAAAATACTTTGATAGGCATGTAAAGGAAAAGTAGGACGTGGTGACACAGGGTACTAAGTATAAAAAAACAATGATAATTTACACAGCAGTTTTTACTTTATGCTGTGTTAGGCTTCTTTATAAACAGCAGAATTCTGGTCTGTCACTGTGTTATTTTGTGAATTATCAAGTTTCACTCTGACTAAAATTAGCCAAATATTGCTGAAAGCAATAATAATAACTTGTAAATATACATGCTTTGATAGCATTTCCTTCCTATTCATGCTTCTTTCTTATGAAAAAGGTAGAAAAAAAGACTGCTGGATAGGACCACTTTTGATACAGTCTTCAAACAACTACTAGGAGAATATTTGATATGGATTTTTATATTCAGATTATAGCATAAAATGCTGTGACTGTAATAATCATTTACCTTGTTTTTTTAGCTGAGAAAGAGCATATAGGTATATATATGCACTACACCTAAACACACACATGTTCAGAACCATGCTCCTTGGGGTTTTGGATTTTTAGAGAAACATACATTCTTGGGTTTGGGTTTTTTTTTTTTTAATCCTAGAGATAGCACAGCTGAAAGCACTGTGAAATCTTGCATTCTTTTCCTAGATGCTGCCAGAAAAAACAAGCCTTTTATGCTTGAGGAGGCTTGAGATGTTTTTCTGCCAGTTGCAAGTCCTGTGCCTCAAAGTAAAAGAGAGCAAGTAATGTCTGTGAAAAAAGTTTTCCTGACAGGCAGCATGAAGGCAGCTCTCCTATGCTTTGCCAATCCATAAGTAATAAAGTTCCTTTGTTGGCAGAGAGTCAATTTTGAAACTAATAAGGAAAACTAAAACAGGTGATGCAGTGCCTATCTCTAAAGGGGAGATTTTTGAGTGAAAAGTAAAGTGAAGTAGAAACTGGGTTATGTGTCTCTGAATAAAACGGCCTCCCATCAGAAAAAGATTAATTTTAAATCACTGTTCTAGTTCTTATATTAAGGATAGTTTAATTCACCCAGAGCTATTTGGCCTTGAGGATGAATTCCTACAATTAAGTGTTTATGATTGAAAGTGCTGCCATGGAGAGCAGACAGATGAATATCATTTTAGGAGTACTGTGAATCATTAAATGAGTTGTAGAACCTTTTTTTGGGCATAAGCCACTTTTAAATTTCAGGCTAAGGCTATAATAGACTTCAGCATAAGGCCTGATGTGTTACTGTACTTAGGAGTTTGAATAACAGGATAATCAACATTTACTAATGTATTTATATAACCTTAAACTTCTTACAGTTAATTGAAAATACGTTTCCTGTTGTATGTGAATATGCTGCTGGGTTCAAATACATTTTTCAGATTAGTGCATTGAGTGTTAGTGTCAGGTAATGAACTTAACCTGCCTCTGACGTGTTGGCTTCTTTTGGCTCAAGATAGGCATGGCTGCTTTCCCTGCTTCAGTATAGAGGCTGGATGTGGAATGTCATACAAACCTGGACAGATGACAAGAAAACAGCGCTAGCTGCCAACTACCATCTCTCTGTTTGTCAGGATTAGTGCTTGCTTTTTGTCAGGATGACTCAACACATAGTCCTGTATCTGACTGGCATATTGGAAGGATGTAACCTGAAATACTGGCCAGACAAGCTGGCAGTTTTAAGGATCAGGAGAGGAAACACACATAGGGCTACTCTTTCTGGTTAAGGAAAGAGCATTGGTCCGCATCTCACCTTTTCTTGGCACAGCCTGTCCATTTCCAGAATCACTTGCTCCTCCTGTAGGCAGTCTTTCCAGGTATGTGGAAATTAAAGCGCAAACAGTAGTGGACAAAATTGGACGGGCTGCTTGAAGCATTATCTCTCCCTGTACTGTACCCAAAACCATCCTGTGGCTCTGTCAGAGCTCTGCCTGCAGCAGGGAAGAGAAATTAACTCGTGCATCTCCTCCTTAAGAACTTCAACTTTCAGACTGGTGTTCTAAGGACAACCCCAGTTTCAGTGTGGCTTCAAGACTGCCATCAATAAGGAGCAGCCTTGTGAGCTGTTTGGTCATGAGGTGGCAATTCTGTCCTGAGGTGGGGTGAATGGCTTGGGGGGAGAGTAATAACTCCTTCAGCCATCTGATTTTAAACCCTTACCATATGTGACTTGAAGTCCTTAGATGCCCTCTACTGCTATATACTAGAATTAACAGATGGCTCTGTGTAACCAAATTCAGATTTGCTTAAGTTTGTTATTCTCTTTGTCCTTATAAATGAACAGAGAAAGGGAAATAATATCCATAATTATTACAAAACATGCAAAGCATTTTATAATGTGTGAGTTTGGGCTAGACATATTTTCTGACTTTCAGTGCCACTGCCCTACATTTCAAAATTTAGCACTAATTTTAGTAGTCTCTTCAGAGCTCATTTCTCTGATAATTTATCCCTCTGTGAATAAATGTGATCTGGAAAGATGCCTGAGGCACAGCAGAATTTTTCCCCAGCATTTAATGCCACATGATGCTAGACAGAAGGAAGCTGCAAAACTTGCTGCTGTAGATCAGCCTTTGTTCTGGTGAGGAAGGAAAGGATGCATTTATCCATCGGACATATCTTTTGCGTAAAACAGAGCAGCAGGTGAGAGTGTACCTAAAATGGAACAAGAATGAAATGTCTCTCCTGTCTTTGCCAGGTTTTGTGTGCTGGCAGGCACAAAGCAATCCTAAAGTCAAACAAAACTAATCTGGGAGGAAATCACTCCCCAGGCTCTTATGAACCAAGTGGTTCTGAGGTGCTTGAACTGTAGCTGTGTTTGGTATGTCAACTCCTTTTCCTTCTATAAGGAAAAGCCAACAAAACAATCCCACCTTTAATTCCCTGTCCCAGGTTCCTATTGCTGATTTGAATGAGTGGGTTTGGGCCAAATTAGCAGCCACATTTTGTGTAAATTTTTAAACATGCCTTACCTTTCCTGCGGAGAGAAATTATTTCTTTCTACTCTAGGTGTTTGCTGGTGATGCTACAAATAGAAGCAAGACTGGCAGGAAGGAGCATGAGCTTTCCAGTGGAACATGTGACAGCAGGGACCTGCTCCAGGTAAATGGAGGACATGCAGCAGGGCCTCTGCCAGGCCAGTAAAAAGCTTGAGTTCATGAAGGGTGCAAATTGCACGCTGTGCTTTCTTTTCCCTCCAGCACCAGTCCTCTATTATCAGGCACACTGGTCTAGAATGTGCTGCTTACATTTCTCAGGAGCTTTTATATTTTTTTCAGAACATAATCTCTAACATAAGTCCATAGCAAAATCTTATTGTCAATGGGGGCTTTGTTCTGGGAGACTGTTTTTGAAAATGCCAGGTTATCAGCTAGCCATTGCACAAAAGACTGAAACAGGAATTTGTTCATATGCCTTTGCTTCAGCATATTTATTCCTTCAACCTGTCCCCCTACTTTCTCCAAGAAATACAGAGAACTCTTCAAGTCCTTCTGGCAGGTGGGCTATATAATGTTATGGTGGCAAACCTGGAAAGCTTTACCAGTTCATACCACGCAATAATGTGGTTCATTGCATGTATTTTTGTTAGATCCCAAATTTCCCAGTTTCTTTAAGGGCATTTCAATTTTTCAGTGGCTTTTTTTCTTCCCCTACCCATCAGGGAGTGAAATCATGAGTCCAAAGAATGTAAATAGCAGCTGTTTCTACTCAATTTGCATTCATATGCTTAGTACTTAAAAATAGCTTATTTCTAGAGGCTTTCACAATCTATTCAAAATTTCTTCTTAGTCAGAGGTACTTGTGAGATGTTATTGAAATCCCTTTGCACTGGCTGATCAAAATGGCATAGCAACAACAATGAAATTCTTCAAATGACTGATCAGTTCTGTAGCTTCTGAGCTAATTCAGCAATTGACTGAAGTGTATCTTTTAATCTCCTTGGACATTTTAAGATCAGTTCCTTGGGCTGCTCTACCTGCTCTAAGGGGGCAAAATATGCCAGGTGAGGAGATGAATGGTTAAAAAAAATCTATGCTAAACTGGTAGTGTATTTCTAGCAAAATTAATTTATTATACAAATGCAGCTGAACAGGGAAAAAACCAAACAAAAACAACACCTGGCAAGGTATTTAAAGGGAACAGCTTATTTGCCAGTGTTACAGATCTTTGAATAAACAAAACCCTTATGCCCTGGGAAGAACTGAAAAACAGCCCTTTGGTTCTTAGACTACTATTTTCTTTTGTTGATGTTTCATGAACCCTAAAGAGGATACACATTTGTATTCATTAGTGCCTAAAGGAAGATTTTAAGAATTATGTCCAATTACTGTAGGGTTCTTTCCTCCAAGAAACTTTGGAAACATTTCACCTCATTATTTTGACAAGTGTCTCAACTTGAACCATTTCTTCAGATTTCCTTGATCCTCTGAAGACTGCAAATTACAGAACAATGACATTTAGTGACCTTTGGTATGGTTCATGTATTCTAATGTTGACTGTGTAAGAAGATGCTTGCTCCTAAATGCAGATTTTGTCTGGTATTACAGAAATGCACTTTCTTTTCTGCATATTTGTTTATTCAGAAGAAAAATCCTTTTATTTTTACAGGAGCTGCAATTGGGGCATCTCTGAATGGGAGATGATGGACTGGTGACTGAAATTGTTTAGAAAAAACTATATGTGTGAGTATGTACAAGCCTGTACTAGACTCATGTAGACTTGGTACTCTGAGCAGACAAAGCTAATCTAAGATCAGGTAATCTTTAAAAATGCTGGGGGTTTGCACTACCTGATTCCAGAGAGCAACTTTGTATTTCTTAATTAAATAGAATGTCCCTGAGGTCAAGAAGGACTTATATTGGGAACATAAGAGGAATATATATGGCTTATATTCATACTAGATCCTACAGAGCAGACTCGCATATTCACAGCCCACAGTGCTCCTTGGACTCCTTCTGGTACCACTCTAGAACCAACATGCAATTCTGATTTTTATGTGTTATCTTCCAGTTTGAAGTTTGTGAAATGGTGTGAACCTGACCACAGCCTGTGAGAAGGGTGCTTCCCTAGCGTCAGCCAGGTACGTGTTGCACATTCCGGGATGTGGTAAGCTGAGGGCGCAGCCAGCTTGGCTGGTTTAGAAGAGCATGTCTTGTGAAGCCAAGCAAGATGTGACCTTGGGAGTGCTGCTTGGTGCTGTCCCTGCAGCAGTGGGAAGCCATTGCTTTCAGGAGGTCTTGTGGAGGTGTGGGAGCAGCAGCAGGGGCCTGAGCTTTGCTTCCAGACTGCCACAGTAACAGCGTGCCCAGAGGGATCCTGAACGTGTCTCTCTGTTGCCAGCGCCACCTGGGTGTGGTGAAGCCCAGGGTCCTGGTTTCACCTGCCAGAGTTACACAGGCATTTTCACTGTAGAATAAATGCAGCACTGGTAAAGAAACACAAGGCTTTTCCTGCATGATTTCCACAATGTCGTAAGTTACAATCTTGGTCGTATCGAAACAAAACACTCACCCAGTTCTAACAATTCAAGCTTTTGTCCCTGGACTGGACAGGGCCTGGCTAGGCACTGTGAAGGTACTAACCATTGCTGCTCTTCTCTTCACAGCTCATGGTGTCACCTTTCAGCCTTAACAGTGGCTCTCTGGGTTCACTTCAGATCTTTCTCAAACAAATATGGCCATATAAAGCCAGTGAATTGTAAACCCATGCGGCCAAAACTACAGCATGTTTCTTTCAGTATTTTAATATAAATATATGCTCTAGAAAGGCAATTACTCTGTCATTTTTCTGACCTCCACTTATGATGAATTTTCCATTAATTTTATTTGCTCTGTGCTTCTACTCGGTATAGGAAATCCTTTTTTCTTAATCTAGTTCTCAATTTTGTGGAACTTGCTACCACTCCGTTACTCCATCACTAAGACCAGGGTTTTACCTGTAGGAAAAATGGCATGGGGGAAAGGGAATTCTGGAAACATCTATTACTGAAAAATGACAAATGAACCTATACTGAAACTATCAGTATTAAAAATTACAAAATAAATTTTAAAAAGGATATGAAGCCTTATGTTACTTATAACAACCAAACAAATGTTAACTAATTAAAGGTCAAGGAAATCTTATTCCTAGCATTTGTTTATTATTCAATAAAAATCAGCCATTTGTCTTAACTAAAGCAAAGGTGAAGACCACTCCTGCAGCACAGCTCTGATGCAGTGTAATTCCTACAGATGCTGGCTTTAGAAAAACAGTACTTAGCATACTATTTGTTTATACAAATCAAACACATTTGAAAGAGAAACTAGCAGGTTTTAAGACAAGAAACCTCAGCAGTGTTTAAAAAACTTGGTGCTAATGACTAGGATTGTTTAAGAAACACTAATCTTTGCATTAAACTATTAAGCTCTGTTTTGTTACCATTAGTGAATAGGAAATACATGTTTGTACAGGAGGGCCATGCTTCAATAGTTTAATCTTTTACTTAGGTTATTTTTTTATTCAGCATGGTAATGGCTTAGTGCAATAACTTTTCACTGTTCTTTTAATTTTTCTCTGTAACTTTCATGGTCAAAATTTTATTAGTTTTAGCAGGAGAGATGCTAAAAAGAGTTCTTTCAGAATTTTTTAATCATCTCACATTTTGCTGGTAGGGGGATTCTTTTGCTGAGTAATTAAACTTTGGTAGCAGTCAAAACTGGTACTATTTAAAAGGTAAACTGCCTCTGACCTGACACTGTTTTTCATCTTGACAATTAGTAAAGCTGAATATAAGCACAACTTTTTTCTGTATTTATGTTTGATAAAGTTGGCAAAGCTTCTTAGTTCTATTGGCTGTGCCAAAATCTTGTGTTGTCTCTATACAACGAGAAACTTCGTGATACATACACCTACATCGTGACCTTTAAAAAAGTGGCATGCAGGACCATAAACTTCTACTCCTCCAGAAGCCATAAGATGCAAAATTGCTAACCAAACATGCTATTAGTTCATGCAGCTTCCACATACTTCCCACTGTCTGATCTGCAGTGTTCCAACAGCTGTAGTTATACACAGTAGAACTAACATTTTATATCAATTGTATTTAAAGTTCCAGATAATTCCATGCAAATTGCCCAGTACATCATAATTCATTATGTTTGTTTTTGTAGAAGTACCTAAAGGTAACAGTTGAACTATTAGCCTCATTTTATAAAAGGTGTCAGAAAGATACATGAATTTCTTATGTATCTTATTTCTCCAAACAGCTTATTATTTTTAGCATTGCAGGCAAGGTGAGATTAAAATCTTATACACAGCATACATTTACAAATTAAATGTGTGTGAATTACTCTATATAGAAAATTAAGAGCTCCTATATACACACTACATACTATTGAAGGCTAGCAGAAACACCAAAAATTGTTTTATCTGAATTTTAACAGTATTTTGCATAGCTGTGCTGCTAAATTTTAAAAAATAGTAATAAAAAAAGAGAAAGGCCCCTACATATATTTAAAAATCTAATTTTCATCTTCCCTTCACAGAAAAGGAAAACGCATCTCCAGAGAACAATTGTGTGACCAATAAAATGTTAAAATAAGATCAACTGCCTTGTGCATGTACTTTTCTGTGCCGACTGACCATAAGGGGGGCCTGTGAAGATTAATTCAAGTTTAAATGCCTAATTAGTATATGTCTCAATCTTGGAGATAATCCCAAATTTTATGTATCATATGTACACAATTTGTTCCTTTATACTGGTGTCTAGTGGGTTTGCTCTAGATCAATTTTGTCTATATTGTAGCATTAAAATAAAATACACATCATCTATTAAGGATGAGGAATACAGCCTACATCTATTTTATGTCTCCATTTGATAACTTTGTATTGGCTTTGAGGATGGAATGAGCATGTGAGAAGTTACAGCAGAGAAGCTGCTAAAATTCACAGACTAGAGAAACTGCGAAATGCAGTGCTGGCTTTAACAAGCAGTTGGTACTGTGACTTATAATGACCTGCCACAATGATTTATTGTGGTACAGCAGAATTTGGACATGACAGATGAAGTTCAGACCTATTATAACAGCAGCAAGAGAGAAGTTTCCTATGGAACTTAAAAGCTGGAGGGATGGGGAGGGAGGGAAAGGTGGGTGGGCAGATGGGCAGGCAGGTAACTGCTGCCTTCACGGCAATCATGGGGAAGTGAAACGAAGTCATGACACTTGTCACATGGGTCACATTACTGCTCCACTGTCGGCTCTTTTTTTCCCCAGACTGCGATGGTGGAGCTTTTTTTTGGTCTCTCAGAGACCCTACAAATGTTAAAGCAAACAGGCAAAAAACCTTTGACCCCTTAAGTGCAAGCCCTTTGGGAGCTCCTTTTGCCGCAGTACTCCCGGGTGTCGCCAAGGGAGCACGGCCGCCTCCCGGGGCCGAAGCTGCGCGCAGAGCCCGGCCCCGCTCCGGCCCGGGCGCTGCTGCCTCCCGGTGGTGCCACAGCCGGCACACGGCGCCCGCGCCGCACACCGAAGGGAAAACGCCGTCTTACGAGCATCCGTTTTGTTTTAATCTGGGAGAATTACAGGAGAGGAAAGAATTCTTTTCACTAAGGCACCAAGATTAATTGAACTGCGATTTACATGGTCCGAATTCCTGTTCGGGAGCACTGGAACAGGCTGCCAAAGGTTGTGGAGTTTTCTCCTCTGTAGACATTCCAAACGTACCTGGCTGTGTTCCTGTCACCTGCTGCAGGTGACCTTGCTGTAGCACTAGTGTTGGACAACATGATCTCCAGAGGTCCCTTCCAAACCTAGCAATTCGGCGATTCTGTGAATTAAGGGCAGTATTTTTGATACGTGACTGAAACAGAGTTTTCTAATGGCATGCAGGGCAAGCAAGGCCTGAGGAGACTTTTAGTGAGACATTTAAAAACCAAAAATCCCTCAGTAAGATGTACCCAACTGTCTACGATCCACAGCAACAAGCCTCAGATGCTCTGGAGCTCAATAGCTACGAGATACAAAACAAATGGCTAACTGCCCAAACTTGGATACAAAGTGCCAGAACAGACTTAACATTGCGAATTTTATGCAACTTAAGTTTTCAATTACAAAGAACAAGGGCAACAGAAAACAGAATTCCCAAACTAACTTTCAATTTATTTTTTTTTGCATAGAAGTGGAACATTAATCAAGTGGATGAGTACTGAATTCCAAGTTTTCAAGAGAAGCAAAGAAAGTTGTTTGAGACCTAGAAAACCAAAAAGAGAGCTTCAGATTACTGTCAGAGTAGTATTTCAATTGTGTCATGCCTCGAGAAAAAAGATTTAGTAAAATAAAACACAGTAAGACTGAAAGCAGCATCCCAATGCAGGGAAAGAGTTTAAAACATCAATGTTATGAATTAGTAACAAAAGGGCACAGGGTACATGTAGTGACCATGTGTTTTAGACAGTTTCCAGCCACTGGTCAGAAGAGGAGGTACTTTAAAGATAGCAGCCAAGCACATAATAGATTTTTAGCTCTCAAAATGCCTGAAAAGCATCCAAAAATGTTTGGGAAACATTGTGAAAGCCAGTATTTCTACAGTGATTGTGGATGTTTGACAGGAAAGAACAGACAAATAGCATAACAGAAGGTTATGACTATAAAGATTTCTCTGTAAAGCAAAATTTCTTAGCAGCATTAGGCAGCAGTAAGCAGAAATATGGGAAAAAGAATGGGGGAAAATAATTTTAAGTTTAAATGAGTCCAAGGATATCTCTTCTTACACTGAAGTCAACTGGTGATAAATTAGGTCTCAGCCTTCCAAAAATAAAAGGAACTCAATTTTATGCATTGGAACGTAAAACACTGCATGAGATGTAAGCCCACTTAGACACCAGAGTCCTCACAAGGCACCACAAATTGATGAAAATACCAAAAACTGTTGTACTACAAATTGCTACAGTCTATTTAAAAAGTTATATTCCAGGCAGAAAAAGCCACTATTATGTTAATGCAATTGAACTTGCAGAGTTAAGCAGCCATCCTTCACAGAGACCCCACAGACAACAGCAGACTTATGTGAGCAACACACCATTAATAAGGAGGCAAAATCACTTGGCTCATGTTGGCTTGAGCATGGACTCCGATATCTTATAAGCACAACAGAGTCAAGGAGCAAAACTATTTAATGCTCTGCCATGATAAACCATTATCAGCTAGCAAAAGTCCAGCATTTGGAGTTAAAAATGCACTGGCACTAGTTTTCTGTAAAAATTTTCACAAGTATTTAAAGGCAGCCTTTTTACACACATCCAACATTGCTTTTTTCATAAATAAAGGATGTTCAAGGGAATAAAGGTTATTCAGTAGTATCTTTAGAAACTAACAGTTTCTCAACATGTCAACTGAGAAGATGAGTGGTACTCGACTTCCAACAAAATCTGCAGAAAACACACGCTGGCAAAACGACACTAGACTAACAGAAGAAACAAACCCCTTCCTAGATTATCCAAATTGCTTTGGAAGGGAAATACAATAAAAATATATGATGGACATGAGATAATTATTTTCTGATTATTTAGAAAGCTCTCCTAAGAAGGCTTTGTGAAGTCACTGGCATCTCTGCAGCAGCATAATGTTCCAAGGTAGGCCTTTCTATTAGAGGGCTGATGCCTAAAACTGTAGACTGAACAAAGGTTTTTTTTTTTCCTTTTCCTGAAGGAAAAAAATGCTACATGATAGAATATTACAAGAGGAAGAACATTTAAGCACTACAAAATGCTAAAGCAATGAAGTAGAATCAGACCAAACTCTTACTGTGATACAGCTATTCCAATTTAGGTATGAACACAGCATCCTCACTGAATGGTAGTTGGAGTGGGATTAAACAAACAACCCCCCCCCACCCATGAACCACAAATGCACACAGAAGTTCTCAGATATCTCAGAATGCTGGATGATTTAGAAGAGTAAGTTACTGTGTCTTGGATGCTAAAAATTAAAAAAAAGTTGGCCAGTTTTCCATACACAATAGGCTTAAATACAATCACTTGGCTGATGTAGAATTATATATGGAACCAGGTATCTCACAAATGTAACAGAAGAAGAAAAACTTTGTTTTCACAAATACCTTATACAATATTTTTCATAAATACTATTTCATTAATACTTCAATATTCAAGCTCACCTTACTAGATTCCTAAAAGAATAAAAAAATACTATCCCACTCAAAACCACCAAACCCTAACATGTCCATTTCTAGACTTCCCACTTTGACACAAGACTTGTGCGGATTCACTCGACCAGTGATAAGCCTGCGACCTCTTGAATTTAATCAGAGCACTCCATCCCTATTACATCCTAATCTAAGACTAGTCCATTTGCTGACCAGGAATGGACAACTGCCTTCACTGACTCCGTGTTTTTTCAGTGCTGTTTTGTTACTTCTAGTAGAAAATAACAGTCAAATCAACTTAAGCATGTTCTATTATAACCAAACATGTCACCTGCTGTAACTTTTATTTCCAATCAAAATTACAGCAAAGTCCAGGTGAACAAGAAGTTATCTTTGTTATCGGTCTTTAGGAGGATTAGGATTCCTGCGTCTTCTATGATACCTAAAAGAAAAAAGAAACATTGCAGTGAGTGCAAGCTGTGGACAGCCTTTATTTTTGTGGTATTTCTGCCCCCAGTGAGTGATCTGAGGTTACACAAGGAAGTGATACACAAGCACAATCCATCACCACTCGTTAGATGTCATCTCTGTTGTTTGTGGAGTTACATAATGCTACTCATTTCTATTGCTATATCTGCTACAAGTACGCAATAATCCAATCAGTTCTACAGCTGAATAGACACAAAGGCTGCTGTTTATTCTTAATCCTTTGTGTGAAGTTAATTTTATTACATGGTCAGCCTTGCCTTTGGCTAAAATGATTGCTATAGAACAAAGATGTTCAAAAGAACTGTGCCAGACTGTGTGTTAAATAGTGTAATATTTTGCAGCAAAACTAAAAACCAAATTCTTCTTAACAAATAATGATCCATACTTTCCTCATAATTATGCATGCTAGACAAGGCAGATCCTGTCTGATCTTCATCAAAGTGACATCTGCCCTTTAGTAATAAAAGTCCTATCTTTCCATTTCTTATATCTACTCCCAAAACACATTAATTAAAAAATTTTCTGTGGACAACAACAACAACAAATTTCCTCTATTATGTCTCCATAGCTATAACAGATCTTGAAAGATGGCATAACATGGAGTGGAAGGGTGTAACACAAACCAGAATGCTGCTTGTTTACATTTATATACCTGAATGTCCAGAGTTCCTCTTTAAGCTCGGTCATGTATATGTGCACCTCTCCTCCTCCTCCATTTCTGAATTTAAGGCACACCAAAGAGCACTTTTCACCATTCCAAATGAAAAACTTCTACTACTCCTAAGTCTGAGAATCATCTTATTGAGGTTGCTAAGCAATAGGCAATGCATGTTTCCAAGCTGTATTTGGTTATGTCCACTGAGGGTATTTTACATACTAGATTCTGCTATGAAACTTAGTAAATGACTCAAAGCAGTAGCTAACTGGATGTATGAGAAATTTCTACACTGTCACATATTTTACAGAAAAAAAGTGGTAAAGTCTATCAAAGGAGCAGTGTTAAAAAAACCCCTCTCATTAAATATAGTCTTCCATTCACCCAACACTGCATGGAAAATTTTATGCAGCAGCCCAAATGCTAGAGGTAACTTGTCTGACATGACTTATCCTAGGTTGAATCTGGTCATTAAATTATTCCTGTATTTCCGTTTACTTCCAAAAGGAACAAACAAATTGAAAAGAAAATACTTACTGTCCCACAGGATACCAGCGATGTTTTGTTGTGTAAAACATTTTGCTGAGCTCTTCAATTGTAGGACCTCTACTGTTCTTTAGTTCCTTTTCATTCAATCTAGATTTTAAAACTTGATCAAGGTTTTCTTCTTTATTATTCACTGGATCTGGCCGTGGTACGGGCTAGCAAAACAGTAATGTATATGTATGTCCTGTTTCTCCTTGTTTTATTTAATTGAGAAAGTAAAAAAGCCAAGCTACATAAGAGTAATCTGTAATGCTATTTAATAGCTGAAACAAAAAAAATACTAAAAAATACTAAAAAATACCTGCAATTGCACTGGCTGTTTATTGTCCCCACCTTCCCACCCTGAATGAAACCATACCACTGTGGAGCAGATGTCTAGACACATCTATTTACCCTAGATTCTACAGCTGATGACCCTACCCCTAAAACCAGCATTCCTGTAGTCATTATTGCAGATCTTGATCTTACAATTCACTAGCTGAATCATCAGCTTCAGTTCTACTAACACAGAAGTACACCATTCCCAGTCAGAATTTTAGCAACCATCATCATTGCTAAAAATCTTTTAGAGGACATTGACCTTTGAGAAGATTGTCAATTCCTAATTTTTTATGCAACAGGTAAGACCAAGTTGTTTGCTTTCAATTGGAAACATAACTACTACCACTATTACAAATATTTTCCCTTGTTTTAGCCTTTTACCTGTTTTTTCTTGAGATATGTGCAAGTGACAGATTTAAAAATTCTGCTATGTAATTTGCAGGCTAAAATGCTTTAGGTTTAAATGGAGAATTTTCACATTGGGTATTTCAGCAACACAGCTGCCAGCTGCAGTGTTTTCCTAGCACATGAGAACTGGAAATTCAAACAAAAAAGTGTACACTAGAAAAAATTTATCCAGGTGTTAAACCACAACAATAGATTTATTTTCATCAATGTAAAAAATACATTGAAAGTACCATTGATAGATAAAAATCAATATTTAAAGTTCTTTGTGGCTTTTATTAACTCAATGCTGAATGGAATTTAAAAGTTTGAGTTGAAAACAGTAGCCAGCAGTATTTTTTGGTATTCTCTTAGGCAGCAGGACATGTGAGCCATAATCTGCATTCCAATTACCCTCTCTGAGTAGTACCTTGTAGACAGACACTATTTTCTCTGTAGTGCACAAGTGTTTTACTGCCTTTTTTAATTCTACTAGAGCTTCTGTGTGGTGTGATACCTGAGTTTTTCTCACTCTGCAACCTTCCCTGAATTCAACTAAGAGTAAATTCCTTCCTTGTGGCAGCAGCTATATTCATGAGGCATTACTTCACATATGTGCTGATCATGCACTAAAAAGTATTTCAAATTGAAAAAGATGCTCTAAAGACTCAAACCTATGAATTACTAAATACCCTCACAATAGTAAGATATATAAATCTGCACACTTGGACATACTTTTGTATGCTCATATGGAATCTCAAGCGAAGGGTGGTAGCAGACAATTGTCTTCAAATCGGATGTCACTGCAAGTTCCACTTTGCTATAAAAATAAAACAACCTCGTAACTTTCAGAAGTACTGAACAACTGAGCAGCCCGAGTCCCAAATGCAGGTTTTGATCCTGCATTTATGAATCCTTAATCTTCTATAAAATAAGGGTCATAAATACTTGATCCTAACCTCCAATTTTTTATTTCCTCAGTCATCTTCCTTCTTTGATGGAGAGGAAAAAGGGCTAAAAAAATTATTAAAACAGCTGGAAATATGAGTTGGAAAAAAATCTTAAACACTTAAATAGTGGCATATAAAACTCTAAACAGATGGGGATAATGATCTCTAGGACAGCATAGCTTTATAAAATGTATGGCATCTGTAATGAAATAACAGGAAACAAAACTCTATTTAGGGTTCCAAATTTTCTATTACATAAAAAATGCTGAACAATAAGTCCTACTGAGAGTTTCATTGTGAGAATATAACTTTTCTCACCTTCCTTCCTTCCCATGACTTACTTAGCTTCCTAAAACTCTGGATGAATGAATTCAGTGTTTCTCACTACATTTGTATCATCTTTTCCCATTTCTACACAAGTTTTCCATGCAGCAGCACAAAAATACCTGGACCTTGTCTTAACAACAAGCGTCAAAGGAAATGACTAAGCTAATTTTGCTCTTCCACAAACAAAACTGCAGGGACATGTTTAAAAGAATTCCTGCTGGCCTTTCATTACATTGAAACATTAAGTTCACAATCATTACTATCACAGACAGCACTTCAGCTGAAATTATTATCTATATCCAGTATTGGCAATAAATGGGTTTGATACTATTATATGGCGACTTCAGGACAGAGAGAGAGAGTAGCCCTGGAATAAATATTACATGAAAAAGCCACACATCAAAGCATGTTTACATACCAATTGTAGTCTTCAGGGAGAATTGAGTATGTAGATTTATGGGAAGCATGATACACAGCTCCATCTGCAATAAAAACCCAAGTAAAGAACTTGATGTAGAAACAAGCAGAGCAGTGCCCAATTAAGAATGTTTATACTTTCAATTCTCATTCTGTTTCAAGTCTTAATCAGGGATTATAATCATATCCAGTTTTAGGTTAACATAACCCAAATACTGTCTAAATAGAAGTTCATTTTAGTACACAGCTTTCTAGCAGTGCAATCAAAAAAACCACAGTATGCAGGCAGACTGTTTTTGCTTGTTCTCTTTTTATGTTAAGTAATGAGATTTTACTATAGCCTTTTCTAAGTCTGAAAAAATAAATTTAAATCTTCAATGATAATCAGTGGTAAGAGGGTAGTATTTACAAGCTAATCAATAAATTTGGGGAGCATACAATTCGGACCATTAAGGTTTTAAAAGCACAAAAAAAAAGGAAAAACAAATAAAGATATCTTTTAGATTACTGTTAGAATAGAGCACAGACTAACAGACTTGATTATGTTCAAATAGAAAAATCATTTCAATGTTTCTATTACTTTAAACAGTACAAGAAAGAGGTTCTCTAGGAAGAAATTTTAATATAGGACTTGACAATTTCATCACCACTTACTCTGCAGTGGGACCTGCTTATAGGTTGCTGCTGAACGCATCCAAAGGAGGCTGGACCATGCAGTTCTAAGTGACATTGCCATGGTGACAGCAGAGGAAACCAGTCCTGGACAAGATGGAACTCAAAGAACTTTTTCTCTGCAGAACAGCTTCTGAAAGAAACCAGTTTTGTAACTACTCATGATACAGAAGACTTAAACATTTCTTGAATATCTTAAGAAAAAAACACTGTGCAACATAATTCTTCTTTGTCAACTGTTTAAAAGTCCTTATCACTTAAGATAATGGTACCTGTCTCCTTAACAGTCAAAAGTAGCACAAGACTTTATTTACTGAGAGGGAATCTTTGAAGGTTCAAATTAAAAAAAAATATTCCATGCCTGTGCCTTCTCACAGGCTTTTCTACTGGTACTCACCCACCTAAAATTTGCATCTTTCCTTCTGCACACCCCATAATATTACTCATGAAATAGTATTTTCTGGTTAATAATGTAAATATCATCACCCAGTACAAAAATAGAAACATTTATAGACTACACTTGCTGTAGTTAAAAAGCTCTCTAAATGCAGTTATCAGTTTCATCCATCTCAGCAATACACCTGAAAACTCAGAAACACCATTAAGAATACCTTAAATGTTACCCAGAATTTCACAGAAGCAAAAAGACACCTTATGTTTTCACTGTCTACCGAAAAAAAA